ATTCTGCTGCCTTAACTGCCGTCTTAATTTAGATTCCACCAGTTATACCATTTACGTTCTTTATGTATTCAGACTCCAATGCAGGCCTTTGAGTTTGTTTACATGTCTCCTTTGTCTACTCTGATCTTTGACAGTTTCTTAATCTTTCCTTGTTTTTCATAACCTTGCCAGTTTGAAAGAGTACTAATGAAGTATTTTGTAGAATGTTCCTGTTGGATTTGTCTAGGGGGGTTGTGTATGTGTGTATCTAAAGCAGCATTACGGGTTTTAGAGATGAAAACCAGAGGTGAAGTGCTGTTTTTCATCACACTGTATTAAAGGTTCTATGCCAGGAATCAGACATACCTATAATCCCAGCTACTAGGAAAATGGAAGTAGGCATATTGTGGTCTGAGCCTGCCCTATGTGAAAAACTACAGCAAAAAGGATTGAGGTGTGGCTCAAGTGGCTGAGCAAGGGTACTGCTCTTGAGTTCAGTCCCCAGTACTGCAAGATATACCACTGTTGATGTCAGTCTTGATCACTTGACTGAGGTAGTGGTTGTCAGATTTCTCCACTGTCAGTTTTATTTTTGTTTTTCTTTTGAGTTACCAAGTTCAGCGCATACTCAAGGAAAGCAGAATTAAATTCCATCACTGACAGAAGGGAATATGTGTGTATGTTATTTGAAATTTCTCTGTAAGAAAAATAAGTCCCTTCTCTCCATTTATTTTATTTGAGGGATTATAATCCAATGCTGATTTTTTTTGTTTTTTAAATTTTTGTTAAAATTGTTACACCTCTGCTTGATGATAAGAGTTTTCAGGTTGGCCCCTCTAACCTTTTCACATCCCCTTTTTTTTTTTAAAGTACTAGCTTGTATTTTGGCACTGTAAGGTATTCCAGATTTTATTTTTCCTGCCTCTGCCTTAGAATCAGTCATTTTACCTCCTATGAGCTGTGGTTCCTCTTACTGGAGAGAATCATTTTTAGAACCCAGGGTTGGATTTCAAGCGTGCATATAACTGAGGTGTCATTGCTTCTAGACTTTCTGAGAGGACAGAGTCTTCTGTGAGTACTAACCCATGTCACACAATATAGCTATATTTATATCTATCCACCTTGCATGCACTAAGTAAATCTGGGTTCATACTGATAACTCTGACTCTAATCCAGCACCACAGATTTCTTCTCTTATATGTAACTTCTTTTTCTCAAAGGGAGAACTCTTTTTTATTAGCTACTGTTTATTTACTTATTTATTTGCTGTTTATTTATTTAAGTAAATAAAAAACTATTTACATAAAGACATATGTAAAAGTGGTTCAAATTTGCTCATGATAAGTTATTTTCTTCTGTCCCATGGTATTTTTGGTTTCAAACTCATATTCATTGAAATTGTTTTGATGTTTTAGATGTTTTCAGAGAGGATTTATATTCACTTATTTTAGTCATATCTAGGCTCTTTTCCCTCTTAAAAATTTTTTTGGTGATACTGGAGAATAATTTTGTTATGATAAGATGTATAAAACTTGAAATTTATCCTTTTAATTGTTATTTCATTGATATTAAATACATTCCCAGGGTTGTATACCACCCATTACCCATTTCTGGTACTTTTTCATCAGCTCAATCCAAAATCATCCATTAAAATAAATTTTCATTTCCTCTTCCTCTAGTCTTTGGTACCACTATTCTTTGTGTCTCTTTGAATTTGCCCATTCTCTGTACCTCCTATAAGTGAAATCATACAATATTTGTCCTTTTGTTTCTTATCTATTTCACTAAGTATAATGTATTTGGGTTCATCCATGTCATATATCCAAACTTTGTTCTTTTAATAGCTGAATAATAGTGTAGTGTTGTGTGCATGCATATGTACGTGTGTATCTATGCACAAATACCATATATTTTTTAATCCATTCACCTGCAGATAGACATTTGATTACTTCCACCTTTTGACTTTAGTGTGGTAATGCTACTGTGAACATTGCTGTAGAAGTGAGTCTATGCTTTCAGTTAATATTGGGTATATATCTAGAAGTGAAGTTGATGGATCATATGGGAAATCTGTTTAATTTTTTGAGGAACTACCAAACATTTCCCACAGTGGCTTCACTATTTTACAGTGCCTACCAACAGTGCACAAGAGTTGTAATTTCTCTACCTGCTATCCAATACTAACTACTTTGCACTTTTTTATTTTATTTATGTATTTTTTTTTTCCTTTTGCTATTTTTGCATTTTAAGAAAAGGTAGCCATCCTAGTACTGAGAGTACTGCTCAAGTCATAGACTACTTGCCTGGTAAGCATGAGGCCCTTGGTTCAATCTTCAGACTGAAAAAAAAGAAAGCAGGAAGAAAAAAAATCTGTGCTAGGCATAATAATGCTACATACCTGTGATCCCAGCCACTCAGTGGCGGACACGGGAGGATGTAACTTTGAGACCAGCTTTGTAAAGTTAGCTCAAGACCCTCTCTGAAAAACAAAACAAAAAGACTGGGGGCTGTGGTTCAAGCAATATAGCTTATCTAGCAAGTACAAGTCCCTGAGTTATGTCCCTAGTACCACACACACACACAAACAAGTTTAAAAAATAGCATCTCATTATGGTTTGTTTTGTATTTCCCTAGTGACTAGTAATATCAAGCATCTTTTCATGAGTTTTGTTTGTTTTGCTTTTTTTGAGGTATTGGGGATTTCACTCAGTTCTACCACTTTAATCACATTCCCAGTCCTTTTACTGTTAGTTTGCCAAATAGGGTTTTAAGCTAACTTTGTTTTGACTGACCTCAAACTACCAATATCTCCTCTGCCTCATGAGGAGCAGGGGTTATAGGTGTGCCCCTCAGCTTTTTTTTTTTTTTTTTTTTTTGAGACAGGGTCTTGATATATAACCCAAGCTGGCCTTGAATCCATGTTCTTTCTGCCTTGGTCACTGTTTTTGTTCTTCTTCTTCAGTTGGTACTTGAGGAGTTAAACTCAGATCCTTGAGCTTGCTAGGCAGTTGCTTTACCTCTTGAGACATGCCTCCAACCCTTTTTGTGTTGGTTATTTTGGGGATAGGATGTCACTCTGTGTTCAGGCGGACCTGGACTGAGATCTTCCCTGCATGCCACCATGCCCAGCCACTGGCTACATTTTTGTATTTTTAAAAACCAGACATTACTTGAGTATTGGTTGGAATTCTCAACATTAACTGGATGCTGCAATAGCAGTCCCTGTTGGTTTAGGTGTTGTTCACTCATGGAATCTGTACTGAATGTGTGGTAATATAATTTTTAGATATCTCATTTGACCAGCAAATGTAGTGTTCTGTTTTAACTTTGCCAATCCAGTTACATTTTCTCCTATGCTTGGTAGGGCGGCCACATTTACCATAGGTCAACTTCTGAAGGAGCTAGGCTAAAAAAGCCACGGCAGCAGCAGACCGTGGGTATCTTATTATGATGCTTTCCAAATAATGACTGGCCCCTTTGTCATCTTGCTTGGGCCTCTGAGACCTAAGAGGAGGCTATTTCAGTCCTGAACTTCTGGACCATGTAGATTGTGAAAATTAGGACCTCAATTTGTAGTAATTGTGAGCTTATGATCAGGAATTTTCTGACTGCCTTAGTCAATTTAAACTGCTATAAAAAAGGACCATAGACTGGTTACTGTTTAATTATCTATTTGTGAATATATGTATGTATGTATGTATGTATTTTTGTTGTTGGCATCTTTTTGAGACTAGTTCTCACGATGTAGTCCAGGCTGGCTTTGAACTTGGTCCTCCTGCCTAGGCCTCCCAAGTGCTGGGATTATTAACATGCACCACCATGTCCAACACTATCATTAAGAAACAAACAAATTCCTCACAGTTTTGGAGGCTGGAAAGTCAAATTAAGGTTTCCAGGTACAGTGTCTGGTAATTGCCAGCTTTCTCATTGATGATACTTACCATGGAAGGGCAAACTCCCTTTGGTTCTATTTATAAGGGCATTAATTCCACTCAATAGGGCTCTGCCCCGTATTTTCCAAAGGTTCTATCTGGTAATACCATTATCTTGGGTGTTGGGATTTCAACATCTGAATTTTGAGGTGATAAAAACATTTAGACTATACCACTAACCATGAAGTAGCTACATTTTATTTTTTACTTTTTTGGGGTGCTGGGGATAGAACCTAGGGCCTTGCACATGCTAGGCTAGTTCTCTACCAGCCCATAGATGCACTTTATTTGTCTTTAGTATTGCAACCCAAAAGGGTAACACGGGTAACATGTCACAGTTGGGTGGGGGTTTTTTTTTGTTTGTTTCATTCCTGACTCACCTAGTAGAAATGTTGCCCTTCAGGTCATCTGGTTTTAACCTGATGTATCATACTGCTAAGACCTGAACTTAATCTTAAAGCCCAGACTCTAGGACATCAGGTTTTTGTCATGGGGCTCCAAAACAAAACCATTTACTGAACATCATCTCTCCAGGTTCCCACTTTCTAGTTATTCTTGGCTTCGGGGGATTGTAGCAATGCACTTAGAAATTTTTTTTTATACTCCAAATGAATATCTTTGGTGTTCTGATCTAGAGTTTTTCTGGTCATTAACTATATTACCAACACTTTCTTCTAAAAAAAAAAATGTAGAGATGATTTGAACTTAAGAAAAAAGGCTAGTGGTCTGGATATAGTTTTCATGATTAAGACAAGCAAATTATTTATTCAAATTAGACAAATTCCTAGAATCAATAATCAAATATTGTGAGAGTGGGGCTGATTTTATACATTTTTATTATATACCCCATTTTTAGTACATCTTATTAATTTGGGCTTCTTTCTGTAGCAGACACATTTGTGGATGACTATTAATTAGGAAAAACATTAAGTGTTCTTTTTTTCCTTGGAGGAAATAAGATATTTACAAAAAAAGCAAGCAAGTTAAAAGGAAATCTAGAATAATCAAAGAGCTTAGGAAATGCTCAAATTTGTTTTGCATTGAATAGTTCTATTATTGAATACTTATCTCAGTTTGTTTTTATTTCAGCTTTGGCTAGATCAGAGTCTAAGAGAGATGGAGGTTTTAAAAATAATTGGAGCTTTGATCATGAAGAAGAAAGTGAAGGAGATAAAGAGTAAGGATTTCTTTTCCCTCAGATATTTTATAAGAATGAAACTATTCATTAGAAAATCAATTTATATTCCATGGAAAGATTTTTTTTAACAGTGTGGTATTCTTTGATTAAGAAAACATTTAACTCTTAAACAGTAGCATTAAGAAAAGGTAAAACAGTTCTTTATTAGTAAATAATTTTGCTGTTATTTGTCTTTTGAAATGTGCATGTAATACATGTTACCTTATGATTAAAAAATGACTAAAACAGAAGATTTCAAATTAAGAAAATTGTTCTTTTTGTTAAAAAAAAAAAAAAAAAAGCAAGTTCAGACCCCAGTACTGCCAAAAAAAAAGGCATTCTGTTTGAACAACAGTTTGAAAAGCCACATTTAGTATCAGTAATCGAGCCGAGATTAAGACCTTTGAATTTTATATGAAAGTTTAAATCCAATAATATCTTTCTTCCTACATTGTGAATGTATACTACCTCTTTCACCTTAGATCAGATTTCCACTAATAAAAATGAACAATAAACATGGGTGTTTCCCCCAGGCAGCAGTTAAGCGAAGTGTTCATTACACTTTGTTAATGTACTTAGAATGAAAGCTGTGTTAGAAAGAAAAAAATTTTGAGGCTAGTTCAGAGGCCGGGAACTCAATATATAGTCTAGTTGACCTCAAACTTGTGTTCCTCCTGCCTCAGCTTTCTGTATGTGCCATCACACTGGCTTAAAAATTTTAAATGATACTTTTAGTTGTTTTTGTTTCTTGGTTTGTTTTTTTTTTTTTTTTTTTGCAGTGCTGGGGCGTGAACTCAGAGCCTTGCCCATGCTTGGCAAGGGCTTTACCATTGAGCTATATCCCCAACCATAAAATAAGTTTTGATAGTGCTTTTGGCATTTTGTGAGATATGTATTGCAAATTCAACTTTTTTCCAGGTTCTTGATTTGTTGATTTCATTTCCAACTGGAGGAAAGAAAAACATTCAGAGATATGTGAAATACACATACGAATTTCTACCAAAACTATAAATATATTTAGAGTCTTTCAGTATATTGGCTAAATATTATAGGTCCTTCCCTTTTTCTGGGCAGCAGCTCTATTCATCTTTACCATTTTAGGTGCCTTGTTTGTTTGAAGCAAAACTTTGAACTAGGAAATTTCTCACTTAAAGTCAGTATTTTACAGTCTTTCCTTATTTGATTATTTTTTTAACTTAAAATATTTTTCTTAGAGATAATTTGGTATTTGTATAGCTTTAAATAGAATTAAATATGAAATTAAGTGGAAAAACATATCATTCAAACATTTTGTGAAAAGTTTGAAAGAATTTTTAGCATTAAAAAAGTTGGAGTGTATATAACAGTGATGAAATAAAACAGTTTATATTTTTACTATGAATAGCTAGGATTTTATTATGTGTAGTAGAATTGTCTTAAAAAACGTATTTGATTTTCTTTGTTGACTTTTTTTTTAATTGTGCTTTAAGGTGCTGTCATATACATTTCATTTTTAGATTGTACTTTTTTGCTTATGTTGATTTTTGATTATGTTGATATTAACATAAACTATTAATATGTTAGTCTTATCTTTTAGACTCTTAGGCCAATAATTCTCAATGGAGGATTGGTACTTCCAAGAATGGTAGAGTATAATTTTGACTGTGGCAATATCATTGGGATTAGTTTATTTTTAGTATCTAGTTTTTTTCTTCTATTAACAGTGTGTTCTGTATTTTGTTTCTCTGTTCTCTAAATTTTAACCCAAGACAAAAAGGAAAAAACAAGTGAGAATGTATTAAATCCATAGTTTAAAAAAAAGAAGTTTATGTGTTCATTTATGATAAGTATCATCAAGCAGTAACTTAAGGCTTTAATCTTGCCTGCCACCTAATTTTGTTAATGTATTTGAACAGAGCTGTATGTATAATTTATGTTTGTTTTCATACTTTACTGGCAAAGATGAGTAGTTGCAACAGAGCTCATATGGCCTGCAAATATTTCACTCTTTGGTCCTTTACAGAAAAACTTTGCTGATTCCCTGAGTTTGGTAAGCTTAGAAGATTAAACTACTGAATTTGTGTTGATTGTAATTGTTACTTAAGGATTTTTTCTCCCCCTTATTTTTTATATAGTGGAGCAAATCTACTCAGTGTAGAAGATGAGGATTCTGAAACCTCAAAAGGAAGAAAGGCAAGTATTATTCTTTAAAACTTTTTTTCTTTTGGGTTACATACTAAAAACTGTTACCTTAAAGGAATCTTTGTATTTTTAAATTGTAAACCTCCATCTCTCCTCTTTCCCTACCCCAAAGGCAAATATTACTCCCACTTTCTTGTCACTGTGAAAATTATGTGTTTGCTTTTGCATTACTGAAACAAAATACCGTCAGAATACCTATATGAACTTAATAAGGAAAAAAATTTGGTTGTTTGGTGGTGGTTGTTGGCCGTGCTAGGGATCCAACACAGGGCTTTGCACGTGTTAGATAAGCACTCTACCACTTAGCTGTATCCTCACCTCTTTTTGGAGACAGGGTCTCACTCTGTAGCTCAGGCTAACCTGGAATTCACAGTCCTGTCTCCCAAGTGCTGGGATTACAGCTGTGTGCCACCTCACCCTGCTTAAATTAAATGTCTATTGCATATATGACAGTGTGTCTGTAGGATAAGTTTCTAGAAGTAGACCTGGTATATCAGGTCAGGTATATTTCTAGTTTTGTTTCTTCTTTTTCTTTAGGGCAGTGCTAATAAGCAAGTGCTCTACCATTGAGCTATATTCTCACCCCAGGTCAGGTATATTTCTAATTTTGGTACACCTCATTTACACTTTTTTGGCAGTGTATAAGCATGCTTGTTTCCCCACACTTCTGTCACAGTGTTACCAACTTTCTGAGCTTTGCAATGAAAAATAATTTCTTATATAGTCTTAGTTTGCATTTCTTTTATTAGGAATGAGTTGAACACATTGTTCTTATGTGTCACCCATTTCTATTTCTTTTTTTACAACTGTCAGTTAATGTCCTTTGTCCATTTTTTCTGTTTGTCTTTAGACTATTATAAGAATTCTTTTTATATTATCTAAGAAAAGTTATTTTCGTATTTTGACATCTGAAATTTAGATGCATCGTATAATAAGATTATATAGTTTAATTATTTAAAAAATCTTTATATAGTATATACAATAATAGTGCATCTTAAAATGGTTTCTTAGATTGGATGAAGCACAGTATTTTGGAGAAACTGGTCCTTTGCTGTGATACCAGTTGTTAACATGGTCATATATTGCTTAATGACAGAGATACCTCTGAGAAATGCATCCTTAGGTGGTGTCCTCATTGTATGAACATCATAGAGTATACTTGCACAAATACAGTGAATCACTTGATTTGGCCTAGATGCAATCAAGAGATGCAGTAAACATGAGATATTGTCATTAGCAAGCCTTAGGTGAACTTTTGTACTACTGGCAGCCTAGTAGTCCACCAGCATCCCCACAAACACGCTGCTGTGGCAGTGTTCTCACTAGCTGATAGGAATTACTCAACTCCATTATAATCTTAATGGGATCCCTGTCATACATGCAATCTGTTATTGACTGAAACATCTTTGTACAACACACAGCTGAATTTTTAATTCAAATTTTTCAGTAGACTTTTCTGTGTTTGCTTACGGTAGTTATTCACTTGGAGAAAATATACTTTTTTATGTCATCAAATATACTAGTCATTTTTCTTTTACGGATTTTGGGTTTTGCTGTTTTGGTTCCTATCAGTAGTAATTTCTTATTTGCTTTGTTCTGTTAGAAATGCAAGACAGTTTCACAATAAGAATACCAACACAATGACTTAAGAATAATTTTATTTCCTGTTTCTTTTTGGTAATGTCACCAGGTACATCCCAGTAGGAATGTATGGCTAAACTACTGTTTTGAAGCAACTTGAAATTATTTATTGGGTTGGTTGGCAATTCTTGATGGAGCTTTAAGTTTATTTTTTAACTTTGTTTTTTATTCTAAGAGATTGCTTTTTATTTTCATTTGATTAATTTATTTCATAATTACGTGAAACACTATTTACATGGTTCCAGTGTCACATCTACAAAAGAAATCCAGAGAAGTCTAGCTTTTGTCCTGATTACCTCTATTGCTTTCTCTTTCCCCTATAGACAACCTGTTTTTAAGTACCGGCATAAACCATAAGATCATAGGCTTATACCTATGATCCTAACTGCTTGCGAGGGAGGATCACCGTTTAATGCCAACCCAGGCAAAAAGTTCATGAGACCTCATCTCAACCAATAGCTGGGTGTGGTGGCATACACCTGTCATCTCAGATATGCAGAAGGCTGTGATCCGGAGGATTGCAGTGCAGGGGATGGAGGGAGGGTTGAGAGACCCCATCTCCATAGAAAAAAAAAAAAAGTAGGACATGATAGTGTGTATCTGTCATTCCAGCTATGGCAGGAAGTGTAAAATAGGATCACAGTCTAGGCCAGCTTGAACAAAAAGACCCAGAGCAAAAAGGATCATAGGCCTGGAGGCCTGGCTTAAGCATTGAACACCTTCCTAGCATGCATAACGTCCTGAATTCAAACCCTAGCACTATCAAAAAAAAAAAAAAAGATACAGGTTGTCTTTTTTTTCCCTTGGTGCTGGGGGTCAACCCAGGGTCTTACACATGCTACACAAGTACTTTGCCACTAAGCTAAATCTGCAGATCGTTTTTTTTTCTTTAATGTAGACACATGCCATCCTTCTTGGAGAATATTTGGCACCTTGATTTTTTTTTTTTGCTTGATAGTATATTCTGTAGATCACTCTACAGAGATCTTTATCATCCCTCTTATTAAGGTAGTACTTCATTGGGTAGATAGACCATAGATATTACTCCCCTATTGATAAACAGAGATTTCTTCCAGACTTTTGCTATTATGCATATAATAAAGACCTGTGTATACATACTTTTCCTATCTGTGTAGTAGGATAATTCCTAGAATTGCAGTTGCTATTTCAGAGGGTAATTCGCATGTAATTTTATTTTATTATTTCTTGGTGGCACTGGAGTTTGAACTCAGGGCCTCATGCTCGTTGGGCAGGTGTTCTTACCATTTGCACCACTCTGCCAGCCTTTTTTGTGCTTGGCATTTTTCAAGATAGGGTCTTGCTGTTTGCCTGAATTGTCTTTGAACTAAGATCCTACTGATTTCTGCCTCCTGAGTAGCTTAGGATTGCAGGCGTGAGTCACTGGAGCCCAGCAAGCACATTTTTTAATTGATCGACTGATTGATATTGATTGATTGATTTTTGTTGTATTATTGTACTGGGGGTACATTGAATTCACATGTAATTTTGCTAGATACTTTCAAATTTCTCATTCATAAAAGTTAACATTTGAAATTCGTACTAGCAATGTATGGGAGTTCTTTTTTTTGTTGTTGTATGGGAGTTCTTATATCCATCCCAGTGTTGTGTGAGTTTTCTCAGGAAGCCTAAAGAGTCATGTGCCTCCAAACTAGGATAATACTGACAGCCCAAAGAATGACTCAGGCAAGTCCAGCCTGAATGAGTAAAATGAGTTTAATAGGGTTTACTTTGGGACAGTGGATGACTTCGAGGAATTGTACTTTACCCCTTCTCATCTGTGTCTCCCAAACAGCTATTACCCTTACTCTCCCAAACCCCTAGCATCCATCTCCTGTCTATCAAAATCCTCTTTTATATGCTCTAAGACTATACCAAAATCTGTACTAGAGCCCCATCCAAGAGCAAAAACAGCAGAAGCACAGCAGGCTCAAATACAAGACACAAACCCTGGAAAAATTCCATATTTATGTATATCTTGTCCTTGCTATTATGTGGTCTTGCTGACCTCAGCAGGCACTGTCTGACCATGGAAAGGAAGGCTAGTCTTGCAATCTAGTAACAGCTAAATTGTGGCATACTGCAAGGGGGAGTTATCCTGGTGAGGAGTTGGAGGACCAGTCACAGTATACCGCATCGCTTTGTAGAGTATGGGGTCAGACTTTTTGCCAGTTTGACATAACACTGTCTATACATATTTCATGTGCTTACAGTTTAATAATATTTTAGGGACTTTTGAATTTACTGTTTTCTAGGGCTGGGGATGTAGCTCAGTGGTAGAGCACTTACTTGCATGTATGCATAAGGCACCAGGTTTGATCCCCAGCACCACAAAAAATAAAAGAAGAAATTTTTCTTTATTTTGTGTTTTGCCCCCTCTACAGCATTTCAGTTTTGTCATAATTTAAGAATTTCTTTTTTTTTTTTTTTTTTTTGCCATGCTAGGATTAAATAATTAGAATTTGATGTTTTTCTATCATTGCTATAGTTTTTCTTTTTAAATTTATTCACAGTGAATAAAAACACTGCAGGTTTTTATAACACTTAAATGAACATCTAAATTTTCTAAAGCATAGACAGAAAAATGTGAACTCTGTAGGGAAAAATAAAAGATATTCTCTACCACTGACTTCTCCATATATTTTTTCTGCTCGCATATTCTCATAATTTTTTGAAAGAGTGTACTGTATGCTTTATTTCATAATTTAAAGGATGTTAATATTTATATTTTAAAGTGAAACCTACACAGCACTTAGATATATCTAATGATCTCTAAAATATAATTCCAACATGGTATTCACTATTATCTATTTTAAAAATACACAAATCATCTTTTCTTTAGTAGTTGGAAATTTTATATTGTGCATTTTGTTCTTAAGTTCATATTCTGTTCAATTTTCTTATAATTTTAAATTAACATGATGTATTTTACTATTGTTTAATTTGTGTACATGAATATTACTTATTGCTAGAATAAAGAGCAATTAAAAATCATTTCAAATACAAGTGCTGAGAAATTCTGATCACATAATAAATCAATGAATATGAAAACAATTTTGCTATAATGTTATGATTTAGTGCTTTTTAAAATTTCAGTACCAGTAGGTATGAAGCTTGAACAGTTAAAACAAGGCTAGATATAGTGGTACATTCTTATAATCTTAGCACTCAGGAGGTTGAGACAGGAAGATCATGAGTTCAAGGGCAGCCTGAGTTAGTGAGTTCCAGGCCAGGCTGGACTGTATACGGAGTCCCTGCCTCAAAAAGCAAACAACAAAGAAATTTCAGATAATTATTAATTTAATTATTTAGAGTTGTCACTTTTCTGAATT